ATCTTATTTCACTCCAGAGCCTTTCCCCTGCGTTCCGGAGGGGTAGGGAAGAAGGATTGTTTTTCAGCTAAAGATACTGAATAAGGAGATTTAACAGTTCATTAGCAGTCGTATAATTTGATGCAAGCTTTGTGTCTTTGGACTTGTATGGCAAATGTGTTAAATATTTGTTTCTCAGAGCATAATCTTGCAAATTCTTATTACTGTGGATTCATTTCAGTGGCATTACTCATATAGTAAGGCTTATGGGCATGCCCTTATTCCTTCTGGGATAAAGCTGTTTTAACTGTTGAAGCATCCTAATTTTTTTAAAATGCACAGGAATGCTCCCATATCTCAGTCTTTTTTCATAAAGTTATGTTATAATGTTAAATCCTAGTGTTTGGGGGGGAAATATCTCCCTTGTATGAGTAAGTTTAGCAACAATAAGTGCTGTTCAATGATTACAGTCATATATGCTGTTTTTCCTGTGTGTCTATAAAACTTATTTTTAGGTTTTACTCACAAAATTTGTGATCAAATGGGGAAGCAATTCTTAGCACTGTGTCCATATAAATGTGGAATGGGAGTGGGCAATAAAAGGTAATCAAAAAAGCAAAGCAAAACATTATAGGCTTGTTCTGTATGCACACGTTTTTAACTCTAAAATATATTTAAACTCTTAATCCATTTTTCTGCATTTTATTTATGCACACAAGGTTGAAGAAAATCCAAAAGCTACAGGGGGTGTATCTATTAGGGTCAACTAAGATCTCACAAAGCAGTGAGGAAGATTTTGAGTTTTCCAGTAGTCTTGTTCTGGCTGTTAAGTAAAACAACATCCAGCCTGAACAAGCATACTACTTGTTTTATAGAATGGGTATCAACATAGAACTGAAAGTATCAACCGAAGGCTTTTTCCAGCTATACAAACCATACTCCTTGTGTCATTGTGAATAGTCTGTTCTCAGTATTGTGTTAACTGGCCAATTGCAGATACAGCTGGCAGTCATTTCTATGACTAAGATCATACTAGAAAAGCCTTCCATATCCTTAGACTTTTTGGGTGTGAACTTTTGGGTGTGAAGTGAGACTTCAATGCGCACCCCAACTTTTAATTCCAACATCTGAGTTTTCAAGGGAGGTATCACATTGCATTGTGATATATATATATATATATATATATATATATATATATATATATTGGTTGTCCTCCTTCAAAGTGGTTGAACTGGATTCATCCTTGAAGCACAGAACATTGCCCTGTTGTTCCAGTTCCTAAGTTCTCAAAGGCAGGCCTCTGAAACCCTCAAACATAAGGACACTGTTACAAATGATATTAAAAAGAGCATTAGAATCAACTGCATTTATAAACGGAAAGGAAAACTTAGATTGGGGTCTATCTGATGTACATTTGTCCAGACCTTAACATTTGCACACCATACATTTCAGATTAAAGCTGCCCCCTAACACGATACGCTATATTTCACAGGCTCCCACTGCATAATAGCCATGCTAGAGCAATAATCCTATTATACTTCTATAATAACGTCTGTGTAGCTTCTGTTTTCTCGACATCAGGCATGCCAGCAGGCCTCTATTCCGGGTAGGATCTGAAATACAGGCTGTGTCCACCCTATCCTTGACAGATGACCAACCTGGTTCCACATAAACACCTCCGGAGAAGTTGAGCTCATGATCTCCATTCTAAAGTTCTTTGCAATCTCTGTGCTGTCCCACATAGGAGCTCTACACGTGTGTGTGTGTGTGTGTGTGTGTGTGTGTGTGTGTGTGACTATGCAGACTTTCTTTTATATTGTCATCCATCGATTTATCGATCCAGTTAACAGATTTCACAACGGAACGTATACATCCATTAATAAGACCCTGTACGTTTGTATAGAAGCCCCAGTGAAATGAATGGATATTATGCATTTATACACATAGACTGGGGGGGGGGGGACACCTATGTAGCTATTTGCATGCTTTATTATCTAAATAGCAGGAACCCTGACCTTAATTCATAGATTTAATTCTGTATTGTATGCGTGGGCGCGCTTATGGTCTCTCACCCATAAATCCTGCGTCTTTGAATAGAATTGCTCCCTGGATGGATAAAATATGTGGCTGTTCTGCAAGAAGTTATCTAAACGTCGGGAATGTGTATGTTGCTGGCAAGAAAATAAATGTATCTTTTATATTCACCGTCATCGAACCAAAATTATAAATAAACGCCAATGTATTTCAACCCTGCAGGCCCATTTCACTCAACTTTGGGTTACTGTTGACCTGAATTTCAACTTGAGACATAAAGTGAACAATACATTTTCTGCTTCTCTCCGCACCGTATTTTTGTTTATTTGAAGCAGTTATATCCCACCTTCCCTACACAATTCTAGTTGTCTTTTCAATGAACTCAGGACTGAATCGTGTTAAGGCCCAGGAACGCTTAGCTCCAACATCTATTTCTCTGCCAGTTCTCAACCCTGAAACATCTAGAAAAAGAATTGATGGGAATGTCTCCTGATCAGATGCAGAATGTTACCATCTTCAGAGAGTACACAACACATCACCGTGACAATATTGCCATCAAGTTCAACACATATCAGAGTGAACAATTGCCAAAAAAAAGAAAAGTGCAACAGAGTCACACTTGACTTAAAAAGAAGACACTTTTAATCCCAAAATGAAGGGATTGGTAAAGAAAAGAAAGTTGAAATGGAAAGTGCAGAGGGTTAAATCTCTCCAGAAATCACAATAACAGACGCTCAGCTAGAATGCATACCACAGGACAGTAGAGGAACAAAGTGGTTGCGATCTCCTAGCCACACATGCACACTAAGTCATGGTGTGCCTTAGCTGTTATGTGTACCAGGCCAATGTCTTGAATTCACTCCTAATCAACATTCATTTAAAGTTCCTAGAGTGCCCATATACTGGTAAATGATACTGAAAATCTGCTGTCGTGTTTTCTTTGTTTATTTTTCCTTGCTGACTAGTGTAATGTCTCCTGGTTCAAACTGAGATGATGGTCTCTTCATGGAAAGAACACGATTAATCCTATTTTCTCCAAAAATTAGAGACGGAAATGCATAAGCATCTTCATCTGATGCCAAGAAGCCTTCCAGCCAGTTTTTGCAACAGGGTGATCAATACACCCAGTGTGATGAATAATTTAAGGAGATTAAGTTGTTATAGCAACAAACCAACACTTGACTTGAAAGTCTACTTGAGCTATTTGTAATGAAAACATGCCTTTGACTAGTGCTTTCCTAGCATTCATTCCTATGTCTGCCCAAACCTGACCACATTCTGGGTGCCACCCTTTCGTCTTGCAGTGATTAAGTTGACTGCATAGGGTGGCTGCTTCCTCCATCCCCCCCATGGAACAAAAACATTTGTGCTTTATTTCTAAACCGAACAGAGCAAATTAATTCGTGAAGCAACTGATTAAAAGATTTGTGGGGTTTTTTTAATGAGCCAGAGGGCAAAAACTTAGAAGCGTGCTTCATATTTTTACTAGGTATAAGAAGTTTTGTATAGCAAATTCAGGAGGGAAGGTTTTTAAAGGAAGATTATCCATTGATTCATCATTATCTTTTATTATTTCTTAATCTGAGTTATTATTATGGTTATATTTTATAATACTCGGTGTTATTTTTCCCCTGTCTTCCCCCTGCTCGCTTGTATGGTCTCTTTCCTATGACAAAGACACAGGGGCCTTCCTGTTGAGCAGAATTATCCTATGGAGATTGTGCTGAGGGAGGAAGAGAGATTGTGCGGTGAAGGAACCATCACTGCATCCTAAACCTGCTGAGTTTGTGTCTGCTAGAGCAAGGGGTGTATGACGTCCTACCTTTTTTCGTCTCCTCACTGGCATTTTAAATTATTATTCCCCTCCCAATTGGGAACGCACCAGGGAACATTAAAGGTGGGTCAGCAGTCGTGGCACAGCTTTCCACAGGTGTGCTAGGGAATCATCTGATGACAGGCCTCCCTCTCTGACTGTGGAGTGGTAGATATGCCACGTTCTGTGACCCCTCAGACCCTCTCCAAGGGAGCTGCTCCCTAAATCTTCATGCAGCAAGAAGGTATTTCTACAGACCCAAACCAGTCTTTATCTCATCTGCAAGCAGCAGGGTTCTGGCTGCGGAGTTCCTCATAAAGGATTACAAGAGAGAGCATCTTTATTTCAAGTGAGATGTTAGTGCATGTACTTGACATATTATGTATTTTCTATTACATTTTCTTGTTCTGTTTGTCAATTCAATTAAAACAGCGTGTATAAATAAATAAAAACCAACAAACACGGAGAGACAGATAGGAAAATACATTAGGCAGACCAGAAGCTTGCCAGGCAGATTTCCCCCAAGAACGGATTCCCCTCAGAAAAGCACTACAACAGAGGAGATCATCGCATGCATTCCTACTACCAACCATACATGAGTGGGGAGAATGGAGCAGGCCTTTCCAACTGGCCTCAATATCAACTAGGATCAGTCCCTTTGGTATCATGGCCCCTCGGCCCTCCAGATGTTTTGGGACTACACTTCCCAGCATCCCTGACCACAGGTCCTACTAGCTAGGGATCATGGGAGTTGTAGGCCAAAAACATCTGGAGGGCCGAGGTTGAGGAAGCCTGATTTAAACAATTCAGGGCTTTTGCCAGTAGACCACACACTAGGGAAACAGGTCTTACCATGACCATATAGTGGCATCTTGTGCCAAAACACTTGAGAATAATTTCCACCATGGCACATAAGGCTTATTCATATAATAACAGGATAGGAAATTGTGCTTTCCCCCAGCCAGCAAATCTGGGGCCTTTCCACCTAACCAACTTGGCGCATGTGGAACGCCCTCCCACCAGATGTCAAAGAGAAAAATAACTACCAAACTTTTAGAAGACATCTGAAGGCAGCCCTGTTTAGGGAAGCTTTTAATATTTAATAGGTTATTGTATTTTAGTGTTTTGTTGGAAGCCGCCCGGAGTGGCTGGGGAAACCCAACCAGATGGGCGGGGTATAAATAATAAATGATTATTATTATTATTATTAGGCTTCATTTCCCATCCATTCACCCATCGGAGGATATGGTATGTAATATCATGGTTCTGTTGCCGCAAAAACCATAGCTTTTTCTTCAGAGGTGGGGTCCAATTCCAAATCCATTCACTCTCACTTAATGTATTATAAATTCATCTGCAACAAGGCCCAGACCCAATAATGAGAGAAGCAAGTCTCCTCCATCCCTTTCAGAGATTGAAGGCTTGGTACTTCTTCCCAAGCACCCACAAGCAGAGGCTCCCATTGATCTTCCCCGTTTTAGGGGTGTTTTTAGATGATCTTTTCTTCTCTGTCAATGAAGTGAGGGAGGTTTTGTGAGGGGATATGCAACAGATATTAATAATAGATAAAGATGGCTCTGGAGTTTTTTTAAAAAAACCTTTTAAAAAAGGAAAAGACAAAGGGTGATATATTTAAAGGCTTGTTTAAACTTCTATTGTTGACGTGATTTCCCAACGAGCAGCTTTTCTGTTTCATTTTGCCCGTGGCAAATACCTAAAGATCAGTAATAAAGCCTTATACAAATACCTTCATACTTTGCTAGAACAGCATTTTGACACTCGCTGATACAGTACAAGGAAAAGGACAACACTACATTAATGTTTGACAACACAGTAAGAGCATTGTGTATTCACCTGCAATGAATGACGAAAAAATTGGATGAATTAAAACAGAAAGGTTCTCAGGGTTTATATTTAAAAGTTTATCTAGATCACAGTGATTCTGTTCCCAAGCACTGTCTTCTGTTGTCCCATTATTTCTCCTGAGGTGTTGTAAAACGGTTGGACCATACAAGTGCAAAAGAAAAATAGATATTAATTTATTATTATACATCCCAAGCACCCCAGTATGCCAAGAGAGACCACCGCTTTTCCTACTAGTGTCTCTGGCTAGTGAATAATGATGTAATTAGTATGAACTAAATAAGTAATTGCCGTTTGCAAGTGCAAGTATTGCTACTATTGTTGCCATTTGTCCTGAGAAAATACAGTTGGTGTGTAGAAAGAGGTTTCATGTTAGCTTCGCATGGTAAAATTACGTGTTTTGGGAGGCTTGCCGAAAGATGAAAAGGTTTTAGCAGGTGCAGAAAACAATACACTGACAGTACTTGCCTAATGTTAATAGTCAGGGAGTTTCAGAGAGACTGTGCTGTTGCATTGAAGGATCAGTCTTACCAGATCTGCAAACAGTCTGGTGTTTGGAACCGAAAGGACACAGCTGCCCATGGGCTCAGGGCTCCCTGTAGTAGACTGAAACCTCTCACATTGTCACTGTACTATTGGAGAAAAATGAACACCCAACCAGACTCTATTAGTTCACACTCCTGCCTCTGCCTGCTCCATCACACATACCTAAATATGATCAGTGTTGTGAATGGCTTCTCTCCAGCTGTGATTGTTGATGCCACACCATGGGCTAGTGTCCACATGTGAGTGTTATTCTGCTGTTAATCTGCTTTGCTCTCGATTCAAATTACCATATTTTTCGCTCTATAAGACGCACCAGACCACAAGACGCACCTAGTTTTTGGAGGAGGAAAACAAGAAAAAAAATATTCTGAATCTCAAAAGCCAGAACAGCAAGAGGGATCGCTGCGCAGTGAAAGCAGCAATCCCTCTTGCTGTTCTGGCTTCTGGGATAGCTGCGCAGCCTGCATTCGCTCCATAAGACGCACACACATTTCCCCTTACTTTTTAGGAGGGAAAAGGTGAGTCTTATAGAGCAAAAAATACGGTAGACCACCATAGTCCACAGCCGCACATATTGGAATTTGTATAGGAGGAGCAACTTGGGTCTTTCCCATTCATACCAGTAGGCATTTCCTTTTGTTTTACAATTTATTTATTCTTCCTTACAATTTATTGATTCTGTTGTGCCAGTTATGTACCAAGAGGGTATGCGAACAGATAGCTCTTTGCACACCTTGGCTTTTCATTTTTATTTTTATTTTAATTCCCTGCTCAGGAAATGTGTAAAAACACACCATCGGGTATTGTAAATTCTCAGCACATATTTAACGTGGTTTGTGTGTGCATTTTTCTGGTTCTGAATGTATTCTTCGAGTGTAATTTTCAATAGAAACCTGATTCATTTTGTGCTTTTGTTTTAATTCCTACTGCTAATTGGACTTACAAAATATTAAAATAAGCGTGTACATATTCTTAACACTCTGCTTAGATTTTCTAGAATGTTCAGCTTCAGAAGTTAACTAAATTATAGGTGGTCATTGCATGTTATTCAATTTAAGATCTCATTACCTCCTAAAAACAAGAAGTACTGCGTGCAGAAAATTCATCCATTTTAAGTTAAAGATTTCTGACTAGTTTCAGGTTTTGATTTGGGGGGTTTTTTTGGTTTTCAGACAAATAGCACCATCACAAAGGCGTCATACAACAATGCAGGGATCTTGCTACCATGAACATTTGGGTGTTTAGTTAAACTAAGCCTTGATTAACAAGCTTTGTGCTAATGGATGACAGCCCAGTTAATAAGTGTTTTCAGTTGGGGTGCTGGATTAGTGAGTCATACCTATAGTTGCTTCAGATATGTGTGTGTGCATGGGCATAGCCAAGGGGGGGCAGGGGGCATGTGGCCCCCTAAATCAAGTAAATACATAAAAATACTTAACTAACTGACCAGTTGCATTACAGATACAGTGGTACCTCAGGTTAAGTACTTAATTCATTCCGGAGGTCCGTACTTAACCTGAAACTGTTCTTAACCTGAAGCACCACTTTAGCTAATGGGGCCTCCTGTTGCTGCCGCCACACCGCCAGAGCACGATTTCTGTTCTCATCCTGAAGCAAAGTTCTTAACCTGAAGCACTATTTCTGGGTTAGCGGAGTCTGTAACCTGAAGCGTATGTAACCTGAGGTACCACTGTAGCTCGGTTCTGCCCCACCCAAAATAAATCCTGGTTTCGCCCACGTGTGTGTGTGTGTGTACGCATGTCATGCACACATAAGAGAAATGCGCAGAATTTGTATGGTTTGACTAGAATAATCCTATGCAAGGTTTTCTTTCACTTCCTTCAGTACCCAGGTGTGAACAATATAGAGAGCAAGCTATTTCTGAAGGGTGTTGGCCTGCATGAATATTCACTTGACACCCAACGTCAAAACATTTGAAATGCCAAACTTCCTGTCATGCCGGCACAATATCCATGGCATAGCATCCTCTTCTGTGCTGTTACTCTAGCCTAGGTCAACAATGAGTACTCACCCTCACTTCAACCCGCTGCTAGTTATTTGTTTAAAAAGCATGGCTTAGGATCGCGTCGTAAGCTCAGAAATATTCCATGCCACCATCACTAGAGGGATTTTATTATTTGGAAAGAAAATGCTGACAACCCGTGTAGTTATACAGAACGTTAAGTGCAGGTCAAAGTATTCTGAAAGTACACAGGCATGCTACTATCAGGGCTTTTTTCAGCTGGAACTTGCCAGAACTCAGTTCCGGCACCTCTCAGGTGGGCGCCAACAAGAGAGGCATTCATGGTGAATTCCAGCACCTATTTTTCTAGAAAAATAGCACTGGCTAGTATGTATTCTTGCGTTGCAATCAGTATCACTTTTAGCATTGCTAGGAGCCCCTAGAGGAAAACTAAATTGATTCACGTAAGAAAAACAAATGTGGTTATGGATTTTGCTCAGCCCTTCATACAAGAGAACTCCTGCGAAGACTACAGACTTGGAACTAACCCAGAAATTCAAACCATTAAAAAAACAACTTAATTATGAAATAATGATGATATTTATACCCCAGTTGATTTCTTCATTGAGTTTTATCTTCACAAATTTGCATTAGCGTTGCCGGCATCTGGTAATGAGAGGTGATAAGAAAAAGTACTTTTTGTTAGAATTGACATCTAAGTAAATGTCTGCCACCCTATATGAATCATTCTGCTGAGAAATTGAAGAAAACTTTGTCTCTTCCTTCACCTCCGCAAAAAAATGTTCAAATATGTGACCTCGCGATGGTTAAAAGATAGCCAAAGTCAGGCAGTGATTTTATCGCAGATTGAGGCCTAGCCGTGTCACGGGTCAGGGAGTTCAGCATGTGAACAGGAAGGTGAGAACTGCTGAACTTTTACCTCAGTTGTGCAGCCCCATCAGAGAATAAATGGACCAAATCATTGTACAGCTGTATAAAGAGGTGAACGGCTGAATACCTATTGCACAGAGGCCTTTGTTTTCTGCACATGATCTGGCATCATGATAGGATGCACTAGGCTGCAGCTTTGTAGCAATTACTAAGCCATTATCACACAAGAACACAGGATCGTTTATCTTCTAATTCAGAATGTCACCTGTTCTTCATTTGCAAGTCAATAACCGTTAATTATGCTCAGTGGAACTTTAAACAAAGATTTTCCCCTCTGTTAAAATCAGTAAGCCATTTAGTAAGAGCAAAATAAATCTAGAATTGCAGTATTTTATTATTTTGCTTGTTTTTATCCTGAAGCCAGTACAATAAAACCCTAGAAATTGGTACATCAGGAACTTTATATACTTTGTGGTGGGAGAGAACCAGTTCCTGGGATTTTGACTGTTATGAAAGCGTTCAGTACAGATTTCTGTTTGACTGCATAATATTTATTGATGAGATATTTATTGAATGATTAAACAGCTTGAGCAACTGGTGTATCCTATCCACCTACCCTTTATTGAGTCTCTTTGACATAGTCTCCAGAACAAGAGACTATTTTTGTTAAACAGTTGCTGGTTTTTTTGCAGAAGAAAAAAGTACAAGCGTACCCACATCCTACAGTAGTGTTTCCTAAAAACAAATGATTTCTCAAAAAAAGTTTCTAATCTTCTAATAATTATTTCACATGTTTTCACAATGTAGGATGTTTATTTTTTTTAAAAAAAAATGAGTACAGCAAAGCAAACAGAAACCTGTATGTATTTTTAATTAAATAACTCTACTTCAAAGATACTTTAAAGAAGCAGAAAAAGGTGCTTTAAAGAAACAGCAAAAACGAAGCAGAATTATGTAGTGTTGTGAGCACCATACAAGTAATATAATGTATTTGTCATGTTGCAATCTTGTACCGATTGACATACACTAATGTCCCTTGGAAATTTCATTTTGCAGAATTGCGAACAACTTACAGTGGTACCTCGGGTTAAGAACTTAATTCGTTCTGGAGGTCTGTTCTTAACCTGAAACTGTTCTTAACCTGAGGTACCACTTTAGCTAATGGGGCCTCCTGCTGCCACCGCACAATTTCTGTTCTCATCCTAGAGCAAAGTTCTTAACCCGAGATACTATTTCTGGGTTAGCGGAGTTTGTAACCTGAAGCGTCTGTAACCTGAGGTACCACTGTAGGTTTTTTTTAATGAATTTTGTAGAATTAAAGATGTGAATGATAGAAAAGGTTGCCATTCATCTGAACCATAAACACAATATCTGCAGTCCGATGAGATCCCATGAGCACACCTTTTCTGTTTTCTTTTACAAGCAGAAAAAATACTCTTTGTGTGCAATTCTGAATCCCTGTACACATGCAAAATAATACTCTGCATAGAAGGGATTGAAGAAAATAGAAAGCTACTGTGTGCCATAGGTTTTGCATTTGAAATCTAAATTGATTTGAATTAATGGGACATAATTTTGAAGCAGTTTCGTAGAATTGGAATCCTGGTCTCTACCCTTTCATCCAGGAACTGCTCCTCTGTCAGCACATATGACAGAAATGGATGGAATGGAAAGGAATGGTTACACATTGGCAATGCATTCTGTTGTAGGTTTGGTTTAGATTGTATGTTTAGATACTAAAGATTAACCTTTTGATTTAAAACATTCAATAGCAATGCTACCAAGCTGCACAAAGCAACTGAATAGCGACTAGATAAAAGTTCTGCTTCTGATCATGCTCTAAATTTATAAAATTGCACTAAGATCTTTTGATTCACTCAAATGAATCTTCATCTTTGCATTTCAGAAATGAAGCAAAATGTCTTATGGCTTTGTTGGCAATAACGACATACATCCATTTCCATAGCAGCTGGGATTTTTGCAGCAATGTGTTAGAAGGTCTGGTCTTAGAAATATCACTACATCTGAAATTGATCAGTCTACTAATTCTCACAGTGCACAGTAGGCTGATCAAGAAAGCTGGCATAGTCCAATGGATACAGTGTCTTTCATTTTGACCTTATTCACCCTTGTGTGCCCCTAAGAAGCAAAAGATCTGTATGTAAGTCGTGAATTTTGATTTCCTGAGTTTAAAAGACATCATAAGAGTTAGGACACACCTTCAGTGAAGGATTTAATCAGGTAGTTAGACTGGAATGCCTGGAGGTGGGGTTTTTTCTTTTTCTTTTTTAATAAACTCTTTTTTGACTCCCCGAAGGCTGCTGTATCACAACTGAGAAAGCAGAATAGAAATAACAAGGTATCTTTCATAAGTTTAATCAACGATTTCTTGAGCCGCATTTGTTTCATGCTGCAACTACTCCAGGTACAGAACTGTAGCATACTAGTGAAACTTGGCTACATGTTTTAGCTGTAAAAAAAAACCCA